GGGGTAGTATGGAAACCTAATACAGCCAAAGCTTTCTAAAATATATACGTTCTCATGGTTAGGGGTGCTACTCCTGGGAAGAGACAGGATGACAGCAACTCTTACAAAGGAAAACATTTAATTGGGGCTGTCTTACAGTTCAAAGGCTTAGTCCATTGTCATCATGGTGGGAAGCATGGTGGCACACAGGCACACGGAATGCTGGAGAAGTAGCTGGGAGTTCTATATGCAGATCCAAATACAGCAGGAAGAGACTGAGACACACTTCCTCCAACAACACCACACCTCCTAATAGTGTCACTCCCTATGGGCCTATGGGGGCATGTTCTTTTAAACTACCATATATATATACACGAAAGCAATCTAAATGAAAACACCAAATAATGGGTGGTACATAGCCCCGACTGGCCATCTAGGAATGAATTACATCTAATTAAGCTGTTGGTCTGGTCAAAGGGGTCCCATCAGAACCCCCGAACAACCCAGGCTGTTGCTAAAATTATAAGCTGCTCTCCACAAACTGATAGCACAGCCCCTTTCCTGAAAAACAACACTTACACAACTCATTGAACATGGAAAAGTCTAGATGGTGCCTACCTAGCACCTTCATGACTATAGGCAAGCATCTTGGGTATAGGAAGGTACTCTGCACACTACCACAGAAGAAATGTAAACACCAACCCAGCTACAAATCTTCATTCTACTATGATGCCCTGTCTACAAGATATGCTCATGCAATTGTGGCACAAAGCTTGTGGGAGTGACAAAACGATATGTGATTTTACTGAAGGCTCACCCCACAAGATGTAACCCACACCTTACACTGCTTTGGGTGACCGAAAACCAGAGACTAGATAGCCCAGGGACCTAGGGTAAAACTGAATATTATTATTCTTAAAAAAAAAAAAAAAAGTAGCAATAAAATGACTCCAAATGGCATTCTGCTATCCCCAAACATCAGCATCTGGCTCAATCATCACCAGAGAACCAGAGAAGTTTCTTCCTGCAGCAGATGAGAATAAATATAGAGACATTTTGCAGAAAGTGAGAGACCATAGAACATACCACCCTAAAATAGATGTCTCCATCAAATCCCTCTTCTCGGGGCTCAGGGAACCCCACAGAAGAGGAGGCAGAAAAAATGTAAGACCCAGAGGTGATGGAGGACAGCAAGAAAGTAAAGCCCCCTAAATCAACGAGATCGAGGACACATGAACTCAGAGACTGAGACAGCATGCACACGGCCTAAACAGGTCTGCACCAGATGGGATCCCAGAGCTTAAAGGAGAAGTGGACACACTCCCCCATCCCTAAGCCAGAAGCAATCTCCAATTTATAACCACTTATGAATGAAAACTTAGTTTTCTCCATGGGAATCTCAGTGGGGAGACAAAGCACTCTTAAGGGTAGGCCTACTGCTCAATAGCAGATAGCCAACAGAAAAACTAACTTAGGCCATCTTTTTCCAGAGGCTCATGCTCTCGCTCTCTCTCTCTTCCTCCCTCCCTTCCTTTCTTTTGATTTAATTTTATCTTTTAAGATCTTTTTTCTTAGCCGGGCGGTGGTGGCGCACGCCTTTAATCCCAGCACTCGGGAGGCAGAGCCAGGCGGATCTCTGTGAGTTCGAGGCCAGCCTGGGTTACCAAGTGAGTTCCAGGAAAAGGCACAAAGCTACACAGAGAAACCCTGTCTCGAAAAACCAAAAAAAAAAAAAAAAAAAGATCTTTTTTCTTTTTCTTTTTCAATCCTACAGGTCCTTATGTATATATTATGGCTTCTGATTTGGAGTTTTATGGGATTCTTTAGTGTGTTAATGAGTGGGTCCCTGTGCCTATATTTGTTTCTTGTGCTTTTTCTTGGGCTCTTCTACTACTGTTTTGTCCTATTCCGGTGTGGGTGTTTGTTTTTTTGTTTTTGCTTTTTTGTTGTTGTTGCTGTTGGTTTGGGGTGGGATATATCTTATATTTTATTTAACTAGCTCTTAGAAGCCTATTTATTTTCTGATGAGAAATAGAAAGGGAGTAGATCCAAATGGAAGGGAAGGTGGAGAGGACTTGGGAGGAATAAAAGTAGGGGGAGGAATAATCAAATTATATTATATGAAAAAAATTTCAATAAAATAAAACAAAAAAAATGTAATATAAAATGACTAAAAGCATTCTGTGATATCTGAGAAAATATAGTATCATTATTCAGTCATTGATATTTGTATAGAGAACTCATCCAAATTGAAACATTCTCTTCTGGATGGAGAGGCAGTTTCACAAGACTCAGTTCAAGCACCCACGAGTCTTCAGAAGTTCCTCAAACAAACACTGTTTCACCAGGCTCCTCCACAGTTGATGAAAGCAGTAACAGTCCTCGGGCAGAAGAAGAGCTGAGCTGTTCAGCTGACCACAAGTCTGCCGGAGACCTCCAGGGAGGCAGCTTTCGGGAGTCACCTAGGCTGGGGGAAATGGGGCTGACGGTCATAGAGCTGCCTTTGACGCACCCTTGTTCCTTAACAAAAGCAAATATCTATCGCCCAAACCTGTAACTTATCCTAATAAAGTCACTGACTCAAAAAAAAAAAAAAAAAAAAAAAAAGTCTGTCCTTTACTCTCAAGAAAGCAATGGAGGAAGAGCACTGTGGGAAAGAGGGAAAGAGATGCTTCTCTGGGTGCAAGCACAGGCCAAAGTAGACAAGTACAAGGAAAGGAAAGAGAGTTCACAGTTTTAAAGCAAGTGACTTGGGGAAAGTGGAATAAATGTTTAATACAAGAGGATGCAACAGTGACAGTATGTTTGGATTTAGATCACTTATACTTTTTCTAAACCCTAGATGTCCCTCAACATCAGAATGGATAAAATGTGGAACATTTTATACAATGGAGTATTACTCAGCTGGTAAAATAATGACATCATGCCCGGCGGTGGCACACGCCTTTAGTCCCAACACTAGGGAGGCAGAGCCAGGCAGATCTCTGTGAGTTCCAGGCCAGCCTGGGCTACAGAGTGAGATCTAGGGCAGGCACCAAAACTACACATCAAAACCCTGTCTCGAAAACAAACAAACAAAAAACCAAACAAACAAAAAAGTTTTAGCCGGGCAGTGGTGGCACATGCCTTTAATCCCAGCACTTGGGAGGCAGAGCCAGGCGATCTCTGTGAGTTCCAGGCCAGCCTGGGCTACAGAGTGAGTTCCAGAAAAGGCATAAAGCTACACATTGAAATGCTGTCTCAAAAAACCAAAGGAAAAAAAAAGAAAGAAAGAAAGGGAGGGAGGGAGGGAG